TCAGATCACATCGATAGCTTTCGATGTGAAGTTTCTTTGTGAAAGAACATTTTAATTGGGTTTTTGTTGTCTCGGGAGATTTATCGAATCGCGGATTTATGGATCGCCGCAGGAGATTATTATAGCAGACCTGAGAATGAATACTTAGTTTTGTTTATTTTTCCATCCAAATTAAGAAGGGACTGTTTTGGTGAAATAATTTGGCTTAAAAATTTACAAAATATCTAAAATATCTTCTTTATTTTTCTCTACCTCCGCCTCTTCTTCTTTTTCTCTATTACATTCGTGTGACAGAACTATCAAATAATCATAGTATTGATTACACGTGTAAGTTTCCTTTTCTCATTTTCCTTTCAAACAATTCAAGCTACTGGGAAAAAATGAGGTTCAAACATTGAACTTGCAATTCTGGTAAATAATTTATTTCAACTATTTCGGACACTACTTTCTTGCTTTCTTTAAAATATCTTTAAAACATCAGAGACTGGTCTTGTGAATTTCAGTGTATGAAATTTGATAACGTCTGCCAATTTTATGAATCTTATTTCCTCCTCTCAACTGCTTCTTATTTTCTTCTTTATCGACGTGTCAGGTTGAAACGGAATAGAACTTTTCTGTGGTATAATAGGAGATTACTGGCGCTGGATATAGTAATAAGAAATTGAGTAATGCAAGGGCTTGTAGAAAAAGAAAAAAAAAAAAGAAAAAGAAGTATGTTTCAGTGTCACGTTTCTGGCGGAGGCTCGTAGATCGTTATGTAAGGCATTGTATATATGTGTTGAGAAATTTCGTGCTCGGTATATTCGACACGATACGCTTTTTTTTTTATTCGTTCAGGAACTTGTTTGTTATTCGCTTGAAAAAATTCGTAATACTCTGCTTCATTAAATATCGCGTACAGAATATTTCACTTTGTAACTTTGAATAAATTTCGAGTAAATGTCAGTCTTGTAATATCGGGAAGGCAAGAATTGCGCGTTATGAGAATATTTGTAGGAAAAATTTGAATTAAAACAGTTTTGAAGTAAACATCGATTTCTAATATTAATAGTCAGTGCTATAATATTACAGTTCCATTTTATTTGACGTCAGAATGCTATCTTATTCTTGATATTAATTACTGATGCTAATTTTCTAATTATCAGTAGTAATTATACTAATTTGTCAATACTAATACTGATTCACCAATTATTATCATAGTTACAATATTAATCTTCTGATATTAATTACTAATACCAATTACTACTTCAAATGAAGATACTGAATTTCTCACATCGAAAAGAAAAGAAAAAATACTTTTACACCTTCTATTTAATCAATTTTAAATAATAATATTCTGCTGGAAATTAACAGGTAAAATAAACAATCTCAGAAGACAAGCCGCTGAATTGGAAAAACAAAGGAATGCGGCGTTTCCCCATTTTAAAACCATCTTAAAATCCCTACGTAGCAACAGAGCGTCGGTAAAAAATCGCTCGGTGCTACGTGATCCAGCCGAGCGACAGCTTATCGCCGGGGTACACCGATAGTCGACGAACGTGGTTACGCGATCGTCGGCCTTCGCCGGCGTCGCCCTTGGTGTCCATGGCCAGGCTCGGCTGCTAGGCGCGGGAGAAATGACAACGGGATCGGGTGTCATCTCGCGCGCTGGCGAGAGAGACCCGAACGAAAATGGAGAGCCTTCGATTTTTCCTCGGCCAGCGACCAGGCTAGGCTAGGCAGAGCCTGTTACTCGTTTTACAGACACGCTTAACTTGCCTCGGGGGGCAAGCGGAAACACAGAGCCATGTGCGCACACCGTTCGTGGCCCAGATCCCGCCGTCTCGAAAAATCCACCCCGTTTCGTTACGTGATCTATAATGCCAACTGGACAGCGCTATGCCAGCTATATCTCGCCTGTCAGATATATAAAAGCCGATCTAGGACGAGGCGTTTCATAGTCTCGAGCGCGTCCGACGATAGTCGAGGTCGGACAATCGTCGACACTCGTCGCCTGACGCCTCTTCGGAAGCCGGAAGCAGCAGCACCGAATAACCCCCTCCACTCGAGAGAAGCACCCTCGATAGAAGACGATCCGTCATGGGACCAGTCGTCGGTTTGCTATTGGCAGGCCTGGTTTCCGCGGCCCTGGCCAAGCCGGGGCTGCTGTCCGCGCCGCTGATCGCCACTCTGACACCCGCGGCTGCCGTCGGGCCCGACGGCCGGGTCCTCGACACTCCGGAAGTCGCCGTGGCCAAGGCGGAACACGCGGTCGCTCATTTGAACGAGAGACTGAGGCTGGCCGACGCGGCTGCCAGGTCAGTAAGCGCGCAATCGCTCCAGGTGATCGCTGCACCGGCTGCTCTTCTGGTACCCGGTGCACCCATAGGGCCCGACGGTAGGGTGGTAGACACGCCGGAAGTCGTCGTGGCCAAAGCTGCCCACGCTGCTGCCCAGGCGAACGAGAGGATCAACTTGGCGAACGAGGCTGCCAGGTCCGCCGCTGCCGATCTTAACAGGTGAACGTTCGGAAATTAGCTGGCATACAGATTGTCCATTAGCCATAAGTAATATTTAACATTGCCATCTGGTGACGATATTTTGAAAAAAGTGATTGAAATGTTGTACAGCGTCAAAAAACGACATTACTTATCACTCATTATTATTATATATTGTCACAATGCAGCGTGTACTCAAAATACAACACAAGACAAGAATCTAGAATCTAGAATCTAGAATCTGAAATTTTATACTGTCATATATTCGATGTTAGAATATAACATTTCATATTGTAATACAGTGTGCTGTATTCAAGGTGCAAGCAAGAAGTTCTCTAGAATCTAGAATTTTGTCATAATATACAGTATACGTGCACTGTACTTCAAAAGGCAAGATTTTGTAATAAAGTACGCGCTATAAAGTACGTATTAAAACATGGAAACAGGCTGCTGCCAGGAAACGAGAAGAATCTGCAATCTAGAATCTGTGAAATTCTACTTTTCCAGACCTCTAGTCGTGGCGAACGCGATAGTGGCGCCAGCGGCGCTGCAGGCGGCCACGGTGGGCCCGGACGGAAGAGTGCAAGACACGGCGGAAGTGGCGGCGGCGAAAGCGGCCCACGCGGCAGCTCAGATCAACGAGAGGGTGAACTTGGCGAACGAGGCGGCGAGATCGTCGGCCACGTTGGTCGCCGCTGGCCCCGCAGCAGCGGTCGCTGTCCCCTTGGCGGTGGCGGTTCCTGGCGCGCCGCTCGGCCCGGACGGTAGGGTGCAGGACACGCCGGAAGTGGCCGCGGCCCGAGCTGCCCACGTGAATGCCCACATCAACGAGAAGGTGAACCTGGCCAACGAGGCGGCCAGGTCTGCCGACGTTGTTGCTGTTGCTGGCCCTGCACTCGCCTACGGACGGCTCGTTATCTAATAGGAATCCGGATCATCCGCTAAAAAAAACACGTTCACCGCGGCTCCTTCCGACGAACGATCGCGAATATGAATTTGGGGGGATGAGGGGCAGGGGCTGGGGGGAAAGGAAGCTTCGCAGTAACCCATATAGAGCAGAGTTTACGTAGACGTAAAGTTTAATACACGCATACACGTACACACTCACACACGTATAGACACATACTGACAGATAGAGATAGCTTTTTTTCTATGAAGATAATAATATTGTTAGAATATATATATATATATATATATATATATATATATATATA